GGTTTTTGGTCTATATACCAACTAGTTTTTGGAAATTGTAACAGCATTTACTAGTCATTAACTATTTTAGTCATTCTTTCAGTTAGATGACTCAAACTGAAACACCAAAGCCAAACTACTACATGTGTTTATATGTCTCACAGGTACATGATCTTAAACTCCCAGAAAAAGACACGCAAGAAAACCTGTAGGAGTTTTTTTTTTTTGCCGATAAACATTTATTATTGCAGATTATTTGACAGGAAAACAGTTTGAGTAATGATAACCGTCATTCTTTCATCCTGCTTAGATTTTCCATTGAAGTATGCGGCTCTCATTGACACTGTTTCTCCAGGCCTCAGACCTCAGATGTGGTAAAACAAAATAGTTGCATTGGTTCTTTTGATTTTGAATATAGTAAATTTGCATCTGATGGGCTTTTGATGGATGAGATTAACAGCTTTACGCTGCTTTCCATAGCCAAATGAAGTTGTGTTTAGTTTTTTTATGCGTTTTTCTTCTTAAATGTTGGTGATGATTAAAACCTGATATTGATATTTTATTAACTCATCTGCCTTACTTGTTACTGGACTTAATGAGTGAAAAGTGCATCTCTCTTTAAACTGGCCTTAATGCAGACTGAGGTATGATTCTGATCTCCACGGTGAATTGGAATTGCAGAATTTGAGGATTTGGACACATTGCATTTGGCAATAAGGTATACATTTATATATGGATTGTTGGTGGATAGATCTTCTGATGGTATACATGTGCAACTTTTGAACAAAAGATAAGTAGTATGAAGAATGCATTATGTTTAGTGGTTTGTTTTCAAAATTGCAAATATCTTTCACCAATCAGATTCATGCATCTCTGGGTGTGCACCTGAGTCTTTCTAGCCTGTTTTTGTCTCGCTCTTTAGCTTGTGTGTCTCTGGCAATGGATATTTTTGTGAAAATAATTAAAACATTTACAGTTAAATACCAAAGTCACCAAATTTACATGAAGGTTGTTGTCAAAGCTAGGTAAGCCTTAATTTTAAAGTTGTATCACCTAACATGGACATTTGTAGGTTTAAGTTTAAAATGTTTCAGCACTTAACAAGTTTATTTGGTTTTAACCCACATTAGCATTATTGGTGTTGCTTTTCACAGTTTTCAATGTGGTTGAGCACATTGAACAAACATTTCTTTATGTTTCTCTTTTTTTATTGTGTTTATATTTCTCCCAGTTATCAGTAAAATAATTGAAAAAGTTGCGTTTCAACAGTTAAATTCCTTCTCAACAAGACCAGCTGCTTTAATGTCTTCCTGTCAGGTTTCCATGCAAACCACAGCTGTATAAATG